AGCAAAGAATAGCTGAAAGGAGATGCTTGCTTAGTCTGATTTTTATCTATATTCTCAGCACAATAGTTAATATGTCTAATTATTAAGAAATGAAATGGGTTTTGACCTATGAAATACAAGTAAGGTGTTGAAAACTACATACCCATATTTAGAAGATATTGTAGTAGACGAAATGGAAAGCTTCAGGGTAAGATTGAGGCTCCATAGAGTGAAATAGTGCTGTGATCCTAAAGAGCCTGACATACACAAGCTTTTTTCAGACTCAGCCAAGAAAGTCGACTTAAGAAGCATTTGTTTGTACAATGTCATCAAAATTTTCATCGTGGTCTTGTTGTTGTTTGTAAATTGCCATCTGCAAGTTCAATTTACTTTTAAAAGTATTTTTCTGCTCATTAATGTGAATCAGTTAAATTAGAAAGGCTACAATTTGAAATGAGAAATAGTATTTATGAAACTACGTTATGTCACATTTTTATGTTTAATCTTGTGTTGGAGATACATGGGTACATTAGCACGCAGGAAGTAAATCTGTACATAAGGAATTGTCTAATTATTTCTTGATCTGTGAAACAGCCTTTCTCTTCTGCTTCTACTGATAGCCACTTTCAATTACACTCCCTGGGAAGCTGTCCACATAAAAGTGCCAACTTGCATCTAAAGGAATGATGTGTTCTGTACCTTCAAAGAGCTCCTGGCTTTATGTTATGCTATAATTTCCAAACTTAGAGTTCAATTTTTTTGTTAAGGCTTTTATTACAACAGAAAGAAAGCCTGTTCTTTCAAAAATTTAGAAGTTAACATTTTCAATGCTTTTTTTCCCTAGCAAATGGAAAAAGTTAGCATACACAAAACAAGATAGTGAATGTTATTGATCTTTGATATTATAATCAACAAATAATATTGTGTCATTTGGTATAATATAATAGGATTTTACAGATATATGCATTTCATATTATTCATTTAAAATTAAATTTGTGTGCCTTATTTATTTGTTTTGGTTGCTGAGATGGCATCTTATTATGAAGATGCAGTTGACTATGTCTCCAAGGCTAGACTTGTATTCATAAGACTCCTATACCAGGCCCCCAAGCTCTGTGATTATAAGTTGTTGCTGGATCCTAATGGCTCCCTCAGGGGAGGGAGTGAGAAGGCACAGTATCAACAACACAGACAATGGGAGTCAGTTGAAGGCAAACAGCAGACTCCTTTTTTCAGTAATGGGGAAGGCCTTACATACCCTCCTCCCAGCACCCAAGCTGGATCCCAATCTGATGGCATTGTGTGGTCATCCTCATTGGCTGGGCATGATCAGGAACTCTGACAGCAATCAGGAATTCTGACAGTGACTATTGCTAGGCCCTCAGGCAGATTCCACATGATCAGAAACTCAAACAGCAAACAGGAACTCTAACAGCACCTGTTGCTAGGCCCTCAGGCAGACTCCAGTTTGGCTCATAAGGAAGTACATTATGCGCATGCCTTGGCAACTGTTTGAGCTAATTTCCTTAACCCTATGGGCCTGTCCTACTTCAATAAGTAAATGCTGACAACCCAGCTATATTTTAAACATTGTTATCACTGTTTATTTTTCTAGTAATATTTTGTTTATTACTTTCAACGAAGCTTATAAGGTAAAATCCAGTAATATGTAAATAATATCTGAGGATTTCTTATAGGAATAATAATGATGAGTTCACATGGCACCTAAAAAAGTGAGGTGTCATATGCATTGATTTCTTAGAGGCTCTATCAGTGTTCCTAAATGATTGGTAAATTTTCCTTTATTATTACTATTATTTCAAGAATGCAAAATTGTTCTTTAAATGTAATTTTTACATGTACACACATACACATCACAATTAGAGTCTATGAAATTCTCACATTGATTATATTTATTTCAGTAATTATTTGTTTTAAATACATGATGGGAACAACTGATGTTCCCTTTGATATAATATTTTTGTTAGTTCTTGAGAATCTCATGCATGCACACAATGTGTTGTGACCATACACATCTCCACC